TCTTTTAAAATTTACCTGAAATAACATTTCAGTTTTGGATTATTATCACAAGCTTACTTTAAAAAAGCAGATAAATGCATTAAATAATTTTGCTTAATGTATACAAAAGACTTTATTTTTTGAGACAGAGTCTTAGTATCTTACCTAGGCTGCCCTCTTGAGTACCCATGATAACTGGAGTATAGCTGGCTTAATTTCTGTGAACCTAAATAGTTATCTGCTCTTTGGCATACAGGTATTTCTGAATAATTACAGAGTACATTTCCTTGATTTTAAGATTCATTAATCAGTGTTAGTAAGCAACTACTAAAACTTTTAATATTTATCAAGCAAATAGATAAGTTAAAGTAGCACCGCACCATTCTTTTCTCCCCAAATCCTTATTAATATGGAACACAAAAATTACTAAAATGTTTACCTAAATCTTAGGTGTATTTTATTAAATAAAAGATGTATTTTATTAGATTCAATGGATGCATCAAAACATAGTAATGTACTATAAACATATGAAATTATAATAAAAACTTCTAAAGGGCAATCACCAACTCTTAGGCATAGGTGCATACATGTATATGTATGTTTATTTTAACATAGAATAAGGGAAAATAGAACCATTATCTCAATGAATTATTCAAACCTACGTACCTCCTTCTAGTCTGGTATGATTGTGCAGCTATGCAGGAGGCCAAGACAAGAGGATCACAAGTTTGAGGCTGGCCTATGTAACTTTGTGAGTCCCTGTTTCCAAATTTAAAAATCAGGGGCTGGAAACGAAGCTCAGTGGTAGAACATCCCTGGGTTCAATCCCCATATGGCAATGCATACATACAATATTAATTTTAAAAAATTACCCTTTCTCTCTTATGTTCATTTTTTAAAATCCTCCATAAAATATGCTGTCATCTACCTGTCAATCAAATGTCAGTGACATAATACCTAAAATTTATCCTTTTCATGGGATGTAATAAGCCTTGCTTGGTACACCTTTGTTTTTGAGTAGTTTCGCATATACACATATTTGGAAATTAGACCAAATACAAACTACAGGTTTCTAATAATGAAATGCATGATTTCAACCTAATTATTTTGAGTAAGAACAGAACACAAAGCTGCACTCAAATTTTGAATAAGGACAATTTTTTAAAAGATTAAGACTCGGAAGATTTTGTTAAAAATAATTAGTGGTAAAATTATAAATTAATACTTAGCTTGATTAACCCAGTAAAATGCTACAAATCGCTTCTATTTTATCTGAGGGCTTCAGATGATTAGATTCAGAAGGCATTCCCTTCAGGGTGAAAATTTTCTGCACACAGTCTGCTTAACTGCCAGTCATTTGCTGCTTTGTTATAGAGGAAATGCCTTCACATTTATTTAAATGCCTTCACAACTTTCCTTCACTGCCTCTAGGCTTTAAAAGATTCTTTCTACAAGATCTTTTTTTTTTTTTGGTACCAGAGATTGAACTCGAGTCCTTGGGCTTGCAAGGCAGGCCACTGAACCGCTGAGCTAAATCCCTGGCCCTACAAGATCAATTTTTGAAGCACAGAAGGGCAGCTCTTTTACTGGTTTTCTCAGAGAGATAAAGTCAGAGGACTTCTTCACATTCTGTATAATCCTTGACCAAGAGTAAGATCATTCTCTCTTAAATCTGTTTAGGAACCTGTGATCTGAACCTCATTAGAGAATATATAGCCATCATGTGCCATAGCTGCTTTCTAGATAAAGAGAAGTTCATAGATTGAAAGCTTTATTAACACGCTGTAATTTACGGTTATAATTCTATGTCAAATGAGGTATATCAAGATTACAGTTCCCATGGAACTGAGTACTGTTCTGCATTACAGCATGTGCTTATTTATTAGCATGCACAAAATTCTGGGTTGGATCCCTAGCATAAGCAAAAAAAAAATCCCAAAAAACAGTTCCCTTCACTCCAAAGCTTTTCAGCATCATGTAGAAGTCCTCTTTATTTTTAAATACCTAGTGAAATGAAAGACAACACAAAAGTTCTTGTAGTTCAGAAAGAAACTCATAATATACAGATATTACCAAAAGCCTTAGCACTTGATTTGACAGCTATATCTCCAATTATATTTTTGTGACAAAATTCAGAATAATCCAGGCTTATGTTTGTTTGAGTCTAGGAATTTTCATACACAATTGGCTCCCATTATTCATTTGTGCATTCCTGAACGCAACAATGGATAGGAAATATTTGAGGCAAAAATTGTGCCTGTACTAATATATACAGCTTTGTCATTACTATGTAAACTACTATGTAATTACATTGTGTTAATATTAAAAGTAATGTACAGAAAGCTTAAAGTATACAAGAGGATAGATACATTTAAGTCTTGGAACCAATTATCTGTGTGTACCAAGAATGACTGTATACCCAATGTAACACCTCACTCTGATTTTCACACTTTTGTTGACTACTTTGCTCTCACACCATACTTGTCAGCTAGCCTCTTTCTTTCCTAACTTTAATCATTCTGTCTGACCATCTCTATTAAAGTCAATGACCAAATATTCTCTATACTTTTTCTACTCTTTAAAAGACAGCGTATTTTATTAGACACAAAGCCTCCTTCAGCAAATAAGCCCTACAAGCCCTCTCTTCTGAAGAACCAATTTCCCAGTACATGTACTAGTATTTTTAAACAGTTCCCTAGTACATGTTATGGCTTGTATCTAGATGTTACCCCAAAGCATCCTGTGCTCATTGGTGGGGCTTTTTGGAGGTGGGTGGATCTAGGGTGCTTTTTCTGAAGCTTTACTGTGTCATTTAGCCTATCCATGGCTCACTTACCAATTGGGAGCAGAGGACCTAGAAGTTCATTTCCAAGATCTGAATCTGGCTGCGATCACTTAAAAGTGTGATTTCTGGACAGTTATTCAACTATTCTGATATACAAAGTATAATTAATAATATCACCTAATGGCCACCATATGGGTTAAATGAAATAGTCCAAAATGACCTTTGCACAATGCCTGGCATATAAATAGGACTTATTATTGTTATTATTTTCTACCACCATTTAAATGTACTCAAGTCTCTCTAGATATTGCTTTTTCCATTCAGTTCTCCCTTGCAACTCCAACCAGAACTTGCTTTTCATACCTTCTTTCCCTCACTCCTAACTCACCAGTTTGTTTCTCACCATTGCCCTGTAACTGTTCCTGCCAAAGTTGTCTCTGCTAATTATGTTCGAGTAACCATGTCTACTACTTTATATTTAGGGTATAAAAAATTTTTTACAAGACAGTTGAAAACATCCATATTATTTTAAAAGTCACTAAAACCAAGGTGATGCATGCTTTTGCTTTTAAACAAAAGTTTGAGCCCAAATTCTCTCATTTTCTTAGGCCATTACCATGAGAAAATAAACAAACCAATATTTTAGAAGAATCACAATCAATCTTTTTTGTTGTTGTTGTTTGTTTTTTGAGGGTCTCACTATGTAGTTAGACTGACCTGGAACTCACTAGGTAGCCCGAGGCTGGTCTCAAACTCACAGCAATCCTCCTGCCTCAGATTCCCAAGTGCTGGGATTACAGGTGTGTGCCACCAACTGGCCAATAGTCTTGTTAGAGATAAAGTATCAAATCTTCCAAAACAAGGTTTAAATTAATGATTTATTTGTTGCTAATTTCCTATATATAATTTAGGGTGAAATAAGACAAAATTAATAATATAAATTGTCAGGTACAAATATTAATTAAAAATGCTTGTATAATTTTTGCCTTAAGTTTTAAAAGATTTAAATCAAAAGCTACATATAAACATTTTGAGCATACGTAATTCATATTAAGTCCAAATGTATAGAAGGAATTTTTTCATCAAGACCAAATTTAAGAAAAGCTCAATTACATGAATTCATATTACAGTAAGTCCAAATGAAGATAAAAGGAATTTTTTCATCAAGAATAAATTTAAGATAAGAAAAGCTCCATTAAGAATATTTTTTTGGTTCTGGGGATTGAACTCAGGACCACATGCTTGAGAGGCAGGTGGTGGAATAACTGAGCTAAATCCTGGGCCCTCAATTATGAATTTTGCCTTGTTCTTCATTTTTACCTCTTACCTCTTTAGAAGTTTCCAACCCACACAAAGAGAGCAGAGTTACAGAACACCAGAAATAGTCCCATATACAGACATCATTTGGAGGGCAGAACATTTCAAGTGTGTGAATTTCAAGTGTGAATTCTTTAGGCGAAGTGACAACAGTACACCATCACAGTCCTTTACAAAGGCTACTGCTTGGGAAAATCTAGAGTGCAGCTCCTAATATTAATACTATGCTCATTTTTTGTATAGGGTAAATAGATAGGCTATGAAGGGGAAAATTAACAAGAGTGCCAGAACTACTACTTCAGCTGATGTCCTGAACTATGTATGGTGGACAGGAGAATGGGAGACCCACTCTCAGCCCAGATCAAGACATATTTGAATAATGAGCTAGCTCTGGCCTGGGACCCACCTATTTTATATATAAAATCTTTTAATTGCTTCTTCTCCATCATAAGGAGCACATGCCATTATATAGATTAGAAAACTTGCAGATTCAAGTAAATTGCCAAGTAATTGAATCGGAAGTTTTTTTCAGGTTTATCTCATGTGGAAAAGGTACAGATGTGTTCAATAACATGTTAGACCTAAGAGTAAACCACAAAAAGAGGAAAATGTCAATTAAAGACCTGAGGCAAGAAAGCAGCAGAATATAATGCAAACATGTCATGACTAACAAAACCAGAAATATGAAAATACTTCAGAACTGAATCTTTATAGTAAACTGTTGGCTTTCTGTTACAATACCTTTTATGGAGTAATGACTAAATAATGCTATCATATAGCACAAGTTATTTTGAAATAAAATATCTCCAAATGAAACTGCGTAGAAAATGAACACCATTAAGTTAATAATGATCATTTTCCACAAGTTTTACCAATGCATAAGCATTACTCTGTGGACTAATTCCAGTGTCTCGCTCACCTGAGGCCGAGTTCATTAAATTCTGCTGCACTGGAGGACTGGTGGGGGCTGTAACATTCATCTGAGAAAGCATGGCCTTCCTGGGGTCCTGCCATGTTGTTGTCTGATCGATGTGACTGAGGCAAAACAAACCACAGTGTTAGATGACAAGTACTATGTCCTAAAAACAATTCTCCTTATCAAAACAGGGTAACTATGTAGGCTAATAATCACAGGAGGCTAAATGAGTTCTGTAAAAAGCACAGTCATTTCATCTCACAGCTCCTACCCTTCCTCTGCAAGTCATTGTTCGCTGTGCAATCACTCAATGTTTACCCTCTTAGATCTTTCAAGTGCAAGATTTGAAAAAGCTATGCCTGGAATTTTAAGTGAGGAGAAATCATCTTCACCTAGTAGGCAATTATTATTCACTGCTTACTTGAAGATAAAATGTAGGTTGTAAATTAATCATCTAAAGTAGTCATCAGGAATAAAACTCAAGATTCCTCAGAATCACATACTTTTTTCTTCTAGCTCTAAAAATGCCAAATAGCATCATTTTAATACCTAAAACCTCTTTTAAAAATAAAACACACACACAAAAAAGATAAAAAACAAAAACAAATATATACTCAGAAGCCAAAATATAATTTAAAATGTTATCTGTAAGTTTTCACTGTCGTCTGACTTCAACAGGTCTCTACACAAAGGCTTTTGTTAATTTCTCTTCTTTTCTTCCTTTTCTTCTTTTTCTCTCTCTGGCTTTCTTTCTCCTACTAGGGATTGAACCCAGGACTTTTACACTGAGCTACATCCCTCTGCCCTTTTTTATTAAATTTTTTGGGGGAGTAGCAGGGATTGAACTCAGGGCCTTGGGCTGGTGAAGCAGGTGGCAGCACCACTGAGCTAAATCTCTAGCCCTTTTATTAATTATTTTGAGAAAAGGTATCCTTAAGTTGGTCTTGAACTTGGGATCCTCCTATCCCAGCCTCCCAAGCTTTTGGGAACACAGGCACAGGTCACTGCACGCAGCAACCATTTCTACATATTGGTAACTTACTGCAAAACATAGTATGCATTTAGATTTCTACATAAAACTGGGGCTGAAAACAGCTTAAGACCTTATGAAATACAAAACTACAAGGCATCTTAATATCTATCTGGTATACAGGCTTTCAATAAACATTTAATAAAACATGTTCTAAATGCCAAGTTTCATTGTTTCAGAGAAATCAACACTGAAGATATCATTATACAAATAAACCATCTAAACAATTATTCTGAAATAAACTCAAAAATTGATTCATGAAGTTCTCTTCACTATCACTTTTGATAGCAAAGTCTGAAAACCAGATAACAATCAATGATAGAGCACTGGTTAAATAAATGTGGTTACATATGTACTACTATGCACCAATAATATTTTAGAATATTTAATAACATATTCATAATATAGTTTTTATAAGTAGGCTGTAAAACAGTATATATAGTACAAGGCTGTTTTAAAAAAATACAGCAGTATGCAGTGCAAGTGTTTGGAAAAAACTGTCAAAATTTTTGACTGTTTATTTCTAGATGATAACAAATAGATTAGAACTCTGCTAAGATCTTATTATCAATCAGGAACTCCTATTTTGAAAAAGGGGAGACAGAGAAAGGGTTAATTTTTTTAAAGAAACCTCCAAAATAATTTTTTATAGCTGTTTAAATTTCAAAGCTGAGTTGTTTCTTTTTGAATCATCCATGATAACCATATAAACAGTAAAGATATAACATTCTGTGTGTCACTATTCTGAAATGAAACTAGAATGCTATCTCATCAATATCATCTTATTAACAAGAAAGGATAATGGACTCTGACTTGGAATTGGCCCTAAGTATTATCCTATGGGTCTTATTTCTTTAGCAAGTAAAAAATCAAATAAAGTAGAAGGGTTTATATATTTAGGAGTAACAATGGCAGTCTCACTTTCAAATTATTACAGACCAAATACAAATGTGAAGAAAAATGTTTACTTAGTGGAATATATAATTTCTCTTATCAGCACCCACCCCACCCGCCTAACTACACGGTAGTAGCAGCACTAGCATTTGGTCAGGTCTAGACAATATAGGCAATACTTTGTTCAAGTTTCTCTAAAATACCTTATTCCAAAGATCAAGTCTTCATCAAGCCCAGTAATGGTTTATTCCCCCACCATTTCAATCCTCCACATGTAACAAACTGTAGGTCCCCATCCCCAACCCCCAGGGCCTTCCATGTGCTGGGCTGGAGTTCATGAGCTATACTCACAAGCCTCTTCCCTTTTTTTAAGTGACTTTCTCCCAACTCTTAACTCTTACAAGTGAGCCATGAAAGAATGTAACAACATCATTCCCACGGCTGATGTCTAGTTCTGGGGAGGTAAGACTCCAGGTAGCACTTAATGTGCTCATGTTTCCGCAACAATGTGATGGTGGTAACAGTAACACTGTTATTCCTCCTAAAGTCAGAATCTTTAAATGTTTAAGGTACAGGTGTGAGTTTCACAAGATTACATAATTTAAGAAGATATCAGGGGCCAGGGATTAGCTCAGTGGTTCTGCTGTCTGCCTCGCAAGCGCAAGGACCCGAGTTCAATCCCCAGTACCCGCCCCCAAAATTTAAACTGTGCAACTCTGTATACTATTAGTACACTTAATTAATGAAATATGCAAAAAGTTATTTTTCCAATATTTCACTTCTACCCTTTCTACCCTTTTATGGATTTCTTTACATTTTGTGAAGTCATCCATTTTGAAATATTATATTACCCATGAAAAGATACACAAGCCAGCAGGTGACAATGATTCTGGCACAAACTTGTTCAAAGCTACATAAATTTCACAAGTTCATTGCTTCCCAGCCTTAGCTACTCTGCAATGAGATCACAGGGTTTATATCTTGGTCAAAAATCCAATTGCTTTCTCCTTACCAAAATAACAGCAAATAATTTATTTACATATCTTGAAGATACAGAATTTCAGATTTATTTTCCTGTAGGAAGGTCAACTGAACTAATCTAATTATGTTCTATTTTTAACTTTGAAAAGTTAGGCTTAGACAAAGTGATACAATAGAAAACTCCTTCATGTAAATCCATACCATTCTTTGATTCTTCTGAAACACCAATATATTTCTTGAGGCTACTACAGTTCCTCCTTAGAAAACCTTTCCCCAACTGGCCCACAACACTTAATTT